ACAAAAACAGGACAAGAAAACTGCTCTTCAAGTCAATGGAAAACATAAGCAAGCAATCAGAAAAATTAATGCCAAGGACATAAATAAACCTGCAATTCACAAAAGAAATTAAAATGCTACATAAAGCTAGGCAAAGATGAAATTCATAGGGTTGTGTAAGGATAAATGAGATCATGTACTTAACATAATGTTTTATATACAATAAATGAAGCTATTAAAATAACTAATAATTAAAGAAATACAAATTTAAATAACAGAAATAAATATATATACATATGGTTATATATGTTCATAATTTATACGATTATATTCTATATATATTATTACATACAGATAAAATCTGTATACATAAAATCATTGTTGAAAACATTGAGAAAACTTCTGAGCCCAAAGTTGACAAAATATGGAGAAAGACATACTGTCAAAATTTGGTAGTAGCAGTGTAGTGGGCATGTCCTTTTAGGGAAACACTTTGCTAGTATCTTTGAAAGTTAAAAAAAAATGTATATACAAAAATCTTAATTTACATATTTCATATTAAGCATAACTGTATACATCTATATCAATCTAAATATATATATGTGTGTATATATATATATATATATATCTCCTTTGAGTGATTTCACTGCTCAAAATTCATCCTACAGAATTATTAGCACAAGTGTACAAAGATACCTATACATGGATATTTACTGCAACAATGTAATAGAGAAAACTGGAAATAATCCAAAAGGCTACCAAGAGTTGAACAAAGGTAACCAAACATTATTGTGCAAAATGTGGTAGATGTATATACACTGACATGGACAATTGTTTAAAAGAAATAATAAATTGTAAATTTAAAAAAAAATTTAAAGGAAGGGAATAAACCAGTTTAGGACTATTTAATCTGGGGTCTTCCATATACATATGGTTCAAGAGAACCAAAACTGCATGCAAAATTGTCAATGTATGTAAGTGCATTTTCTAAGGAAAGTGTCTGTAGCTTTTATCAAATTCTTGAAGGAATATGTAGCCTCCTGGAAAGGGTCACTAAACAATCAGGAAAAAGCATCCCAGCTCTGAGTATCTAAGAAATGTAATTAGGTTATACTCAAGTGAGGAAGACCTTGGGGAGGAAAGAAATGCTCTCAATTAAACTTTTAAGAACATATTAAATGCCTCTACCACAAAACACAACATTTTATTTCAAAACTCCTAAATCTAAGGGTGTGAAGGAAGTTATTCGTCAAATGAGCTTATATTCACTAATTACAAACCTCAACCAAAAATTAAAGATCAAAAGCAGTCTTCAAAATGCGTGACTAGTTCATGCTTAAATTACACTTAAAGTAAGATCATACAGAAGCAGGGCGCCTGGGTGGCTCAGTCGTTAAGCATCTGCCTTCAGCTCGGGTCATGATCCCAGGGTCCTGGGATCGAGTCCCACATAGGGCTCCCTGCTCAGGGGGAAGCCTGCTTCTCCCTCTCCCACTCCTCATGCTTGTGTTCCCTCTCTCGCTGTCTCTCTCTCTCTGTTGAAAAATAAATAAAATCTTTAAAAAAAAAAAAAGATCATACAGAAGCAAAAAGAGGCAAAGATTAAGTGGTAGTCCCATTTGACACAGTCAGGTTGATAATGATGGACTAGTTACTCACACATACAAAGATTCAGGAGTTATGCAGCCTTAGCTAAACTTTATTTTTTAAAGATAAGTCGATTAAAATAAGACAAAAATAACTTAAGTCTTATACATAGTTTTGTGAAATTTCTTTGAGCAGAAAAAATAAATCTTTTCCTGGAGGCAGGTTAGGAAGAGGAATCCAATACCTTTAGAACTAATACAATAAATTAACATTTTAAACATTATTGCCACTAGAATCAATGGGACTTAATGAAGACTGAAATAAATGAGTAGAAAGTAGCAGGAATACTCTCTATCCTAAAATGAAAATATATCTTAGGGGCACCTGGGTGGCTCAGTCATTAAGCGTCTGCCTTCGGATCGGGTCCTGATCCCAGGGTCCTGGGATCGAGCCCCACATCAGGCTCCCTGCTCAACAGGAAGCCTGCTTCTCCCTCTCCCACTCCCCCTGTTTGTGTTCCCTCTCTCACTGTGTCTCTGTCAAATAAATAAATAAAATCTTTTAAAAAAAAGGAAATATATCTTAGAACAGTGGTTCTCAACCAGGAGTAATTTTGCTCCCCTAAGGGACATTTGGCAACACCTGAAAACATTTTTGATTGTCAGAACTGGACGGGTGCTCCTGGTATATTGTGGGTAGAAGCTATGGATGTAGCTCAACATCTCCCAGACTCACCTACCCACTCAAAATGTCAACAATGCAAAGAAGTGGGCTGGAGGAACCACTGAATCCATGCTTTGAGATAATCAACTTAACAACAGAAATCCTAAAGCAAGGTTTACTTACTTGTTTTGAAAGACTGACACTTTATCAAATAGCATGGATCTTATTAAAATGATGTAATTTTTGAAGTGTTATTTAAAAGAAAGTTATTAATTGAATTTCCAATTTATCTAAGCCTTTTAAATTATGCAAAAGCCATAGGCAAGGAAAAAAAAAGACAATGAATTAATGCCAAATGAAAAAAGTTTTATACACACACACACATCCTATCATGCTCACAAACAATACTGAGCAAAGGAAACCAGACTTTTTACAAAAAGCTACATTTTGCATGATTCCATTTATATGGTTCAAGAATGGGCAAAAACTGATCTCTTGTTAGAAATCAGAATAGTGGTTCCTCTGGAGAGAAAGAAAAGGTAGAGATGGGAGAGAACATAAGGGGGACTTCTGGAATGCTAATAATTTTGTATTTCTTATTCTGGGTAATGGTTATGTAACTGTGTTCACTTTGTGACAATTCGTCAAGCTGTGTACTAAGTAATCAGTGCAGTTTATACAGTTAACGCTTTCACAAAAATATTTTTCACAAAAATGTTTATTTTTTAAATGTTATGTATTCACACCCTAAAAACCTGAGCACTTTGACCCACAAAGCTAAATGAACATCAATTGCAAAAGTAAAAGTATTTTTGCCACATAGGCTACCTTCCAAGAATTCAAGAAGGATGACACCCCCAGAAAGCTGTAAATACCATACTCAGAGCTCATACAGCATTCAGTTGAACACTTAAGCCACCATATATCCCTCGGCACAAATTCAAAAATTTGACAAAGGCTTACAAATGCAGTTAAATTTATTCCATGGACAGTTTGAATTATTTCCCCCAATTTTAAACTGTGAACTGTTATTAGAGAATGCATTCTATGAAACAAATAATGCTTTCTCTTTCTTAATCCCACATTTTCCCAAAGCTCCCCCAAACTAAATCCCTCTTGGCCCTTAATTTCTTAGAATTTCTCCAGGCTGCTTTCAACAGTGCCAACACCTCTCTCAGTATCCATCCTTACAATCCACCTCCCCACAACACATGAAAATTCACATTAATGCTCATTCCAGAGGCTGGTCTCCCCTACTAGACTTCTACTCCCTCCCAGGACCTCATAAATACAATCCAAACCTAACTACCCTCAAACTCCTAATACTCTCCAACAACTGGCTTCCCAACAGCACCACAAAACTAGGGCATATGCTAACCCCATCTTTAAACCCTCTTCCACCACATAAAAAGCCCTGCTTCTGCACACAATTCAGCTCAGTGGCCACTGAAGCTATGATCACCTGTGCTGCTCTCTGCTTTAGCACCTCCTCTACTGCATTCAAATCCATCCCATTTCCCACCCACCCCCTGCCCCAAACTCTACTTTCTTCTTGAAGAATCTTTCCTAAGTACCAGAGCAAGGATATAAAGTTGAAGGAAGGATAAAGGAATGTGCTCCATCCTGAGTGAAGGTAGTTGCCCCAGTGTCAAGCACACAACCATGTGCATGGGCTACAGGGTCAGAGGGCAGGAGTGTGAAACCCAGCCACTGCCCTTCCTAACTGCAAGGCTTTGGGCGAGTGATTTTACAGCTTTAAGCCTCAGTTTGCTGAACTACAAAATGGGAAATCATAAAAATAGCGATCTCATAGAGTCGCCAGGATGAAATGAACTACCGGCCGTTGAGCACTTTGCACAAATCCTAGGTGGTAAACTCTCAGTAACTTGACAGTTTTTCCTAGGTCCTCGTCTTGGACGGAGGAATACAAAAGAGGGTGAAAAGTACTTTCCAAGGGCAAGGGAGTGGTGGAGGGAAGAAGTACCGTACACACACATTGTGTCAGATCCCCAAACAGCGTTCTCTCTTTATTATCCCCTTACAATGTGGACCCAAGAAGCCCTCAAAGCCCCTGCTAAAGGATGGGGGAAGACACAAATAGATACATCAAATCCTCCTTCCAGGAGAGTCATTTGAGGGAATGCAGTAGGAAAGTGCCCCCTAAATTGCTAAAATGAGATCCTTGGGGGTCTGAGAATTAGGAAGGAAACCCCAAAGTCCCAAAGGATTTCTCTTGGGAAGCTGAGGGGAGTACTTCATAACAAGGAGATTAAAAGTAAACGCTAGAAACCATAAAGACTCCTCAACTTCTCCCCTAGGAAAGAATACTAACTGGTTTCTCCGCAAATGGCTTGAGAAAGGAAAAGCGCTTTCCCCGCCTCTCATGGGACACCCGGGCTTCCCCGGGTCCCTTCCCCGGAGGGATAAGGAGGAGGGTCCGCGCAGGGGAATCCCCAGCCCCCCCAGCGGCGGAGAGGCAGGCTCAGGCCGGGGCCCCCAGGGAGTTCCACTGGGTCTCTTCCAGTCTCTTTGCAGCCGGTCTCCAGTAACGGGATCTCTCCGGGGACTCGGGGATCTCCCAGAGCTTCGGCCATCGCTGGCTCCTTCCCCTCACAATCCTCAAATCCTCGGTCCCGCGAGTTCTCCCCGGGCACTTCTCCGGGTCTCCTGGCTGGCACAGGGTCCGCCCGCCGCCCACGGGCTCTCCTCCCCGGCCTCCTCCCGCCACCCCCCCCCGCCCCCCGCCGAGCGCCGCGAGCCCGCGGGGTTACCTGCTGAGAAGGCAGCTCCACATGCAGGGCCCGCGCTGCAGAACCGGGTGGCAGCGAGGCCGCCGGGCCCGGGGGCGGCGGGGAGACCGGGCCCCCGACCGACGCTGAGGCGCTCATCTTGACCCAGGGGCCGCCAAGCGGCGGGGCCCGCGTTCCTCCGGCATCCGCCACCACCGCCTAGCCTCGACCCGCCGAGCCCCTGCAGCCCAGAAGCCCGCCACCCGAAAGGCAGAACTGCTCTACCCAACCTCCAGCCGCCACCGCCGCTGGCTAGGGAAGAGCCATATTACCGCAGTGCAACCCCCACCACCCCGCCGAGACCTGGCTTGCTCATTGGTTCGGCTGCCACGGGGGCGGGACCCAACGACAGATAAGGGACGTGCTATTGGGTAGAAGGTCTGTCCATCGCCGGCCGGAATGGGCTCGGGGCGGAGGGACCCGGGGATGGCCTAAATCGCGTCTGTCAAACCGGGGTGAAACCTGGGGCGTTGCTTCTTTTTTTCCCAGTCTAATTGGTTCTTTCAGTACTGTGGGGCGGGGTCTCCTAGCGGATCCGCAAAGGCCATTGCTCTAGGTCGGTGTCAGTTGTCAGTAAGGGGAAGAGGGGCGGGGTCTGATTAGGTAGAGAGCGAGCCTGGGCTCTGTTGTCACGTGCAGGAGGCAGGAGAGTCACCTGATTAGTGAGAGTCAATCTTCCGAGCCACTTCCGCCCGAACCTAGTTGCCATGGTAACCGGCCTCCTTCGGAGGGCGGGGACCCGTTTGGCGCCAGCTGGGTCGTGAGTCTTGATCTGCTGTTGCAAGCTCCCTGAGCAGCCTTTTCCTGAGGGGCTCCCAGGAACGTGCGGGGATTGAAAAGGAGTATTTCATGGTTCGACAGAAGGCCACCCCTCAGGATGCACGGAGACTAGAAACCTGACGGGCAGTCCCACCTGCTCTTCCGTGACCAACTCCAACCCACAAGTCCACGACCCTCTTCGCACTCCCCTAACTAGTACGCTGAGCTATAAGGTGTGCCAGGCACCCAGGACGCTGTTTCACCTCTCGGAGTGTGTTGCTTATGCTGTCTTTAGAAAGCCTTTGCTACTTTTCTCCTCCTAGTGCTTACTTTTCCATCAAATCTCATCCGGGGGTGGGGTCCCTTCTTCCAAAAGGCTTTCCTGATCTACTCTGGGAGCCTGAGTTAGGAACCTTGCCTCTACCATATTTCTGATTATTCTACTGCGTTGTCTTTTAATAAGTGTGTAACACACACACACACACACGTTGAATTCCTCAAGCAAAAGGACCTTGTCATTCATCTCTGGATTTCCAGGACCTGCTGGATAATCAGTACATGTTTGTTTTTTAAGTGAAGACCCAACTCAAATGCCACCTCTTCCATGAAGACTTCCTTGATCATAATGATAGCATACATAGCAATTGCTTCTATAATAAATAGCATTGACTCATTCTGCAGGATATCAATCTGCCTTCCCCTCACCCACCCCCACCCCCAGACTGTGAAGTTATCCACCACCTGGACTAATATAGCTGAAAGAACACAGTGTTTTAGAGTCAGACACTACAGAAATCAGGCAGTTTGGGAATCTTGGCTCTGCCACTTTCTAGCTATGTGTTCCTGGGCAAACCAGTTCCCATCTTTCCACTTTGGTTTTCCCATCTGTAAAATAATAATAAGGTTGCTGTAGGGATTAAGTAAATCAATATATGTAAAGTGCCAGTGAAGACCTCACATAGAATAACTGCACTAAAAATAGTTTAATAAAAGGTCAGCATACTATCTTTCCAGGGTGTTCAGAAGCCTGAAGACACTTTGGATTTGACCCCAGGACTGGCTAACATGGATGTCACACTGTCTCCTATTCTGAGACATCGAGTGGTTCCTCATGGGTGTGTGGTTCCTCATGGGTGTGTGGTCAGGTGTTTGTTGAGAAGGGATTAGTCAAGAAATCCCAAATCTCATGTGGTTCAACTCATGTAGTGCCAAGATCTGGTGGAATTTCACAGAAAGCACTTTTCTGCTTCCAAGCTGTATTAGTTCCCTGAGGCTGCTGTATCACATTACCACAAACTAGGTAGCTTACAACAACAGCAACAGAATTTTATTCTTTCACAGTTCTAGAGGCCAGTAGCCCAAAATGAAGGTGTTGGCAGGGCTTCACTCTCTCAGAAGGCTCTAAGAGAGAATCTTTCCTTGCCTTTCTGGTGGCTCCAGGTGGTCCTTATCCTGGGGCTGCATAATTCCAATCTCTGCCTCCATCTTCTCATCGTCTTTTCTTCTTCCTGTGTATTCTTTTCTTTTCCTTACCAGGACACCTGTCTTTGGATTCAGGGCCCACCCAGATAATCCAGATCTCATTTTGAGATCCTTAATTACAAAGACTCTTTTTCCAAGGAAGATGACATTCACAGGTTCCAGGGATTAGAGTATGGGCTCATTTGAGGGGGAGAGGGACATCATTCAAACCACTACATAGGTTAAGAAAATAGACCTATAAAGACAGAACACTGAATCACTTCATTCCTCTTTGGAGGTCAGCTCTGAATATTAGCCAACTTTATTACTTCGTTCATCCAACAAATGTTCATTGACACAGAGGTGTCAAGCCCTTTACTGGGTGCTGGGAAATCAGACTCAGACTCATCCCCAGAGGAGCTGCCCTCTTTATCGTGTAGTCCAATAAGTAAACAAAGACTGATAATCCAGTTGCTCAGCCTGAGGAAAGTTCAGGAGCTGTGGAAGCCAGAGAAGAGAGTCAGATTTCAGTCACAGTAGAGGTGACATTTAAACTGGGTATTGAAGGACCAATAAGAGTTTACTAGGCAGGAAGGGAGAAAAGGATATTCCAGCAGAGAGAGCAGGATCCATTCTTTCTACAAGCTTCTAATGAGATTCAACTCTGTACCAAGATGATTACCAAGCACTTCAAGTAAACAACCCTTCTCAGACTTTCCCACTCACATGCCACTAACACCAGGATAGCTGGAATGCTCACCCCTAGGGACAGGACAAAGAACTGAAATATCTGCAAAGTATTCAAGGTAATGAATGTAAAATATTTTGCACTGTGCCTTGGGTATAGTAAGTGTTGGATAAATGCTATCTATCATTATCTTTATATGTCCTATTTCATTCTAAAAAATCTTGTATTACCTTAGATCCTTTTCCATAATATGGCTATATTTGTTTCAATGGGAGAATATTTCTAATCACTTTGAATTAAAATACTATAATATTTATACAGGGATATATACCCCCTAGGGAAACTTGTATCCAAGTGTAGGGAACATGGATTCTAAAGTGGCCAAATACAATATACATGCAGTGATAGAAGAAAGATCAAGATCCAGTGGTAACAGAATGACTGACTCTACAGGAGCTGGTGGGCAAAATCAGAGAAGGCTTCACAAAAGTCTTAAGAAACGATTAGGAGATGAACAACAGGAGTCGTTGGTTTGGTTTGGTTCAGGGATGACTGGTGTTTTAACAGCTAACTAGAACCATGTTGGATATTGAAACCAAGCATTGTTTGCAGGGCCAAAAAGCCAAAGCCACTCCAATCCATTTTACCTTCTCTTCTTCCTCCCTCCTCATTCTCTAGATCTCATGGGTATGATGCATTAAATAAGTAAGAGCAAGACAAGCCAGGGTGGTTTTTTGATGTCTCAAATTTAATTACATTAGATCTAGCCCCTTCCTTTCAACAGAGTCCTCTTTCTTCCATTTACTTACTCACTAAGTAAAACAGCATTCAGACCAGTACCAGGTGCCCAACCAGGGCACGAGGTTTACAGAAATAATGCAGATAGAATCCCTGACTGCAAGGAGGTCATGGATAATTTCAGTACAAAGTGGTCAATGCAGTCATTGGGACGATAATGGGAGCATGGAAGAGGAAGTTGCTAACTGCTGTGTGTTGTACCAGAAGGCTTTCCAGAGAAGAAAGAGTACTCTAGGCAGAAGCATGAGTTTTGCATGAACAAAGGCCCTGAGGCAGAGGACGTGACATTAGTGTCGTGACATTAGCGTAGTTTAAGGTGGCTGAAACAAAGGTTGCATGGGAGGAACAGGCAAAGAGGCCAAAAAGGAAGAGGGGGCCGGGTAAAAAAGAACCTGGCTGCTAGGCAGAAGAACTCGGGCTTCATCTTAGGCAATAGGAAGTCAGTTAGAAAGATCCTCAGGCAGCCCTGGAGATGCAGGTTTCAAGGGGTAGGATTTGAAGAGCAAGACTCTTGCAGAAAGCCAGGTGAGAATTGTAAAACAAGGAGACCATTCCGCAAAGAGCCTGCACCCAACAAAGGTGGGTCCCTGGGCAGCATTTCTCCTTCTCCTTTCTCAACCCTCCAAGGTCACTTTTTTGAAAAAGGCTTCTTAGATGTAGGCTAATGGCTACCTTCTCTGGGCTCCCACTGTGGCTGCCTGACTTCTCTTCAGTACCTGTATCCGCGTGCCTAGTCATATGGTTTGTGTTTGTCTCACGCTCTCTACTTTGAACTCTTGCTTTTCATTTCAATCCAAATCCCACAGAGGGCAGGCGGCAGAAGCTTCAACGCACCAATGAATAAAATCAGTGAATGAGTGGACAAACGCTTGAGTAAGAGAATGTTTAGATGACATGGAGCCTCCATACCTCTCCCACTGGAAACAGCCCCAGAGAGAGGAGGTGAGCTTGCCCGGGGTCACACAAAGTTTGTAGCAAAGCTGAGACAAAGACTTAGGCTTCTTGCCCCCAGGAGCAGCGCTCCTTCCTCAATTCCAGTGGTTTTCACACTGTCATGGACTATAAACGTGCCAATGTGGGTACCTGAGTTTATGAATTCACGGGCCAGCCAGGATGACAAGCATTCAACAGAAGCACATCTAACCCATGGGGCTGATTTAGTGGGAGCCCCAGAGAAAGCTTTCCTTGGGAACTGCCTTTTACAGTGAGGTCCAAAGGGTGAGGGGGAGGTAACCGGACAAAGGGGGCTAGTGAGAGCAAGAGGAGAATTCGGGCAGAAAGAAGAGCCTGAAGAAGGAGCATGGAGCATTGAAGGAACTGAAAGAGAAGGCGAGGCGGGAGTAGGCAGAAGAGGCAGCCGGCATGGAGGAGGAGGAGCGGGAGGAGAGCAGTGTTTGAAAGAAACTGATATTTCAAAAATAAAATCAAAGACCTCCTTCAATCTCTTTTACAGTTTTAGGGTTGCTTTCATTTGTCATTTCATAGCGCGGCAACAGCATTGTCTTTTCAGTGCTTAGAGCTTCTGCAGTTTTAGTCCAGCTCTGATGGCACAGAATGAAGTCGATGATGCTGGCAGGGTCCAGATCCTGGGGATCTGGGGAGT